ATTGTTTTCGAATACACCTCTTTCAATTTCGCAATTGTTTCATATTCAAAATGATTCCTGACTGAATTCCACAACTCAAAATTGAAACCACTACTTCGAACACCCAAAATTTTGACTAATTTTCATGTGATCTGATGCACAGAGAACAATTGTATGAGATATTTTTAAAAATAATAGTCGTTCTTAAGACTTTACATTTTAAGCAATAACTCAACAACGCCGTAATCGAATTTCAAAAACCAAACATGAAATGATATCAGAATTTAACGTAGCATCTGAATATGTAATGATATACAGGGCGTTTTATTCAAAAAAATGGAATTTTGGTCTGTAGCACCTACACCAAACACCCTGTATATTTAAAAATGATATCAAAATATAGCTCTCATGAACTCCTAAAACTTTTGTATGAATCATGGAGTCCATGATTCATACAACTGATCCACACATAACGAGTGATTGTTATGTGTGGATCAGTTGCAAATATACAAGAGTTATGTCTAACTCTTCCAGTGTCAATATACATTGTATGAGTCAAAAGTGATATTTCAGCTAAATAAGTAGAGGAGTAGTAATTCAAATATCCGTTAAAGCCACTGGTCAATGTGTAAGAATATAGTTAATTTTTAGTTCAATGATTTATTAACGCTCATATATCCGGACTTCATCAAGTGCTTTAAAGTTAATATATGTCAACTCAAAATAAACCAAGGATAAAAATACACACTAAAACATTCATATACAGGGCTATTCAAATTCGTTTTTGTACATGGGGATCTCGTAAACGATGATAGATAGAGTGTTGGTTAAATAGTGGCAAAGTTGCGTATTTTAGAGACCTATTCATTGATGTAAAAAAATCGAATATAGCTCTTTCGGTTCTGGAGATATACAGGAAAAACCAAAAAATCCCAAATTATTTCTTTGCCTGTATATTCTCTATTCGCAGATATATTGAAAATCTGTCCACATTTTGCTATTGGCACTTGATGTGGGCTATCAGAATATGTCCATGTGTCTTTTATACAGGATGTCATCTGACTTGGGCCACCTCCATCTTTGAAATTTTAAATACGGACCTGCATTTTTTGTTACAGTTTTTGGATCGTCTACGTTCACTTCATACCGAGAAATTGAATTTAATTTTATATTTCGGGATGTTTCGGTATAATATTTTATTATAATTTGGTGAATTATTCCCTTTTAAAATACGGTCCTGGAAATTGGTTGACTGAATTAAATAAAAACACACTAGCAACTTTCACGTCTCCCTATGTTCCGTAGAGTTTATTTACAATTCGCATATTGCTTTGTTACAGGCAAATGGAAAAATTGTTGAATTATGATTAATAATCGAGCAACCAACTATAAAACACCTTGAAATGGTTTTTAAGAAGAAAGACATATCGCCATTCACAAAATATAATCTGTGTTGAAAATCTCAAAACAAATAGTCTTTTGAACTCAAGTGGAGAACTGAAAGAATTGAGAATTAAGTTGAACCGATGAATCCATAAACAAATTTTTCAACGAGTTCAAGCTAGCGAATAAATCTAATAAAGTTGCCAAATTTAATTCCGATGAACACTAAAATCGTTTCAGGAAAAAACTAAATGAGGTTTAAAGTTTAGCCCAATCTCAATGAAAATGTCCATTGTGAAACACACTAGGAAAAAACAACCCAGTGACTCAAATTGATGTGATTCCTTATAATGGAATTGAATGAACTAGAATCAATATTATTTGCGGTAGACTAGATGAGAGCATTAGTGTATCCTTTGCATAATAGACAATAAGTTCAAATTTCCTCACTGAACATAAACCAATTATGCCAGTAGTTTCAATGTAAAAGAAAACTAATAAAAACAATACACATGTTTTGTATTCTTGAAAAAAATTAGATTCTTTTCCTTTTGGCACTTCCAAGTAATAATTTAAATACTAATTGAGCAAGTTTCTCATAAGTAACAAACATCAATGCAGTGGCGAAAACAGTTTGTAACATTTTTGATTCCAAACCCTGGAACAAGGCTTTTGGTCCATTTTTCTTTAATATCATAAATAACAGAGCAGCGGTACCCATCCTACGATCTTTTGCTAGCCTCAGCCGAGTTTGAGCTAACTGTAGAGGATACGTGAGGACGGTAGCTATAGATTTTGATATAGCCCCTGAAACAACAAATGATGTGACATTATTTAAAATTAAAACATAGGAGGTATAGGAGAAAACTCAATCAAGGGTCAAAATATAAACAATTTTTGAATCTCACAAAAAATGCAACCTTTAGTTCTAAAACCAAGATTTCTTATGTAATTGAATGTCATTACACTTTACGTTTGGATGCCCTATCAGAAAATTAATAACTACTTTTTGAAAACTAAACCATTGTGTAATAATGGTTGAAAGTTTAAACTTCTCACTGGGAATAATTTGGTACTGAAAATTTAATGCCATATCTCTAAAAAGATTTGTTTTATTATCTAAAAATTTTGTTCAGAGATAAATTTGACTAGAAAGAGCCTTCGAACTCACATATTCAAAAAAGGGGTACAATCGATATTGTTTGAAATTCAGAACTAAATCAATCCGCAGTTCATTCAACTGTGAGTAAAAAACTAGTGTTTTAACTCGTGTTCGTGACGTCACTTTCATTTTTAACATTCCCTCTTTGAATCATTTTCCAGAATGTATAAAGGAAGTGAGTTTATTCAACGATTTGTTCAATGCACTATACTCTGTCCATCTAACAAAAAAGTGCCCCAAAACATTATCATGCATAGTGCATGTGATCTCACAGACTAAGGTGCTTGTACAAAGTGGCACTATGGAATAATCGATTTTTTTTAATAATATGTGGCTGGATATAGGAAATTTTTTTAGGCGGAGTGTTGGGACACAAATTAGCAATTTCTTCAGCGGCATCAGTACTTGACATTTTAAAAATTTCAAACTTTGTACACATTACAGATGTTAAAACGTAACTCACAACTCCGACCCTCTAGCGATATACCTGAATGAATTCCGCCAGCCGATTGCAGTTAAATCTGATTGGTCAGCGTAAGGAGGCTTGTTTATTTTATCCAATAGATATTTGTGGGTGGTCATGCTTCGATCACGCATCTATCATTGTTTGGGTTACTTTGTTTGTTGGATGATCAGAGCTTAGTATGATTTCGTTTATAGATTCAGCATTATCAATAGTTGTTTGGTTGATTTAATCACTGATGAAAAATGTGATGGCTCGTCTGTTTCATTAGCTTAGAGAACCAAGTTTTTCGATGAATTGGTTTAAAGAATAATCTGATATATTTCATTTTTCATTCACTTTGAACATTTTTGAGGTAATAATATGAATAGTTCGTATTTATCACAATACAAATGTAGATATTACCGCAATTCCCAAGGCAAACACTTATGATTATTTTGGAACTACAACACAACACTATAAATTTAGTGTTACAGGGAACAGGAATACCTAGAGATTAAATACAAATCAGAAAGTATATGATATTGGAAAACTGAAATAATGAATTTTATTTCCAGACAAAGACAATTTTTGTATGAAAAACAAGTTTAGGAAGACTATCAAAAGGGTTAAAGAGAATCTGAATTATCTGCAAGGAGTAATTTTGAAAATGAAGATACAGATTTTTTTTTGACGTAAGAAATCATAATTTCGTATTAATTTTCATGTTACATTTTACGCAGGGCGCTGCGTAAACTGTCATTATTTATTTCAAATTGCCCTAACTTTTTTTGTACTTTTATTGAAAAAACCTAATTGCCACACCTTTTCCAAGTGAGAAAGTTAACACTTCCTCAACAACACTGGAGGTGATCGTTTTCGAGATATTAACAATTTTCTATATGATCATATTACTTAGCTCCTAGGGCGCTAAGTATGTGGTAGATCTCGTCAAAATGAACAACTTTCTCCTTTAAAATGTTTATCAAAATCAAAAAATCATTCATTTCCATCAAACATTTTATAGGAAAAAGTTATTATTTNAGTTACATCACAAGAACAAAAACATTATACTCTCAATGTGTGATTCGCTAATCAAGTTGGCATTATCTGAGATGATAAAACTGAATTTCATATTTAAGTTAGGCCTATTCATATAACAATGCTTCAGGTAATGAGGATCATCAAATTAATTTCTAGTATTGTCAGTTTGTAATAATATCTTGATTCCTAATTCATATGACTAATTGTAATGTACCAAATATTTTTCTGGTTTCTATTTCTTTTACTATGTAAGAGAGTGAACGTGCTGTTTGGAATAGGACCTATATCACTGGTCATCTTATTTGTCGATTTCTAAATTGTCAAGAGCGTCTAAAAATCTTTTGTCTTGTACTGGTCTCAACTATTTAAAACATTTTTCACTTATTTTGTGGCCGTACTCATAGATCGATTATGTGAAATATGTCCTTTGTATTCATCAACACTTGTTGGAGTCTGAGGAGCTTTGAAATTCACATTTATGTTTAATTTTTCAACAGGAATTCGGCTGCTGGATGGGTGACTTGACCGGACTTTCAGCTGTGATATAAATCACACGTCAATAGGTAAGACCTTGGTAATCGTTGGCACTACTTTTGAAGGCTGCCTCAAAGAAAGAAACTATTTTGAAACTGTTTGCATATATGTAAAAATCAAACAGTCTCACGGACAGGGTAGGTATGAAGGGTTGTTTTTCCAAGTTTCATTCTATGTTCTGTGTTTTTGACACTGACTCATTTGCCATCCTTTGGTGATGCCTCAGAAATGAGACTTTGCCAAAACGTTGTGGAAATGAGCCTTGTGAAGATTAAAAACACAGAACACGGAATAAACGTCGTGCGTCGTGACTTGGGCCTGCTCCCGTACAAAATTCAACTGACACAGGAAGTGAAGGTAAACGACCATAGACAACTACAGGTGTTCGCTGAATGGGCTCTGCAGCAGTTGGTAACTGTCCCTAATTTTCATCGAAAAATTATCTTCAGCGATGTGGCCCTTTTCTGGATGAATGGGTACGTGAACAAACAAAATTGTCAAACTTGGGACGATACCAATGCATACAGAAAAGTCAATGTTTGGTGTGGATTTTGAGCCGGCGGTTTCATCGGTTCACATTTCTTTGAAAACGACACTGGCCAGGCCATCGCTGTCAACGGCGAGCACTATGGATTGATGATTACCAACTTCTTTTGGCTTGAATTGGATGATCTGGACACCAACTAGATATGGTTTCAACAAGACGGCACTACGTGTCATACAGCTCATGCCACATTGGATATTCTGCACAAGTGATTTGAGGGTATGGTCATCTCACATGAAGGTGATGTGAACTGACCACTGAGATTGTGCGATTTGACCCTGTTATACTTTTTCTTGTGGTCTTTTCTTAAGTCACAGGTGTACGATTAAGCAAAAAACCACAGCGATCCTCAAAGCCAACATGACCCATGTCATTGGCCAAATTCAGCTGAATAAAAAATTTCAGTGACATCTCACTCACACTTTGTTTAATTCAAATTTAAAGAAAGATAGCGCTTAATAAAAGGCCCTATATATCGTGAAAATTAATATATGACTTATGATTACCTAGTAACTAATCCGAATTTCAAAAATAAAAAAGTGTTGGATAGATAATTAAGTACCCATCAGACAAAACCCTCTTTTAAACAAAAAGGTGGCAGTGTCCTCTCGGCGATGAGCGATGCAACGCTATTTTGTGTGCATGTGTGTCATCAGCAGTGGTGAGTCCATGCCATAAAAGGCTCACGTAGCCCTATTTTCTGTGTTGATTTAAAATTATAGATGATGGAGGTAGAGTTACGAGAATTGTAATTTTTACATTACAAATTTTCTTCTCTTTAGAATCTTTTTTTGTTTCTTAAATATTGATAGTTCTAATTATTAACAAAAAAACAAAGGTCTTTCTTTTCTTCCTGATTTGTCAATTACCATTTGTGTCCTATAAAATCATTAAAACGCATTTTTTTTAAACGTTATTCTGAATCCTAATATGAGCCTTTGCTCATATTTTTAGGAGCTCAAGATTAATTACAACACATCATTACCTAGTATGAAAAATGCAGTGGCAGTCTTAACGTTCACTTTTCTCTTCAATGCTTCATAGATGGTGAAATGGATTGCTGGATTGGTGACCAGTATCAGAGAAGGACCTACTCCATTCCAAAGGGTTCCTATTCCCTCTGTACTCCCTATGTGGAATAATCCATCTAGAAGACCAGTATAATGTACTTCTTCTTTGGTTTTGAGACGATTATTTACCACCCAAAGAGGATTAGTTGTTAGAACATTTACTACACCTGAAAAAATATATATGAGAAGCATTAATATTTGTGAAAATTTTATAAACGATCATGCTTTGAAACAATTAAATAAACAAGACAAGGATGTTGAGACGTTTCGCTGGCGTGAGCGGCTAGTTTTCTCAGAGGTTTATACATCCTGAGTTAATATATTACCCAAGGTCTCCAAACTCGGAAAATAGTGACACTGAACATGAGGGTGTCGTCACCTAGATTGCACAATGTCGGAGAAAAACCTGGCAAAACCTACAGCACCACATCATTATTCAACTCAAGCCTGTCAGAACCATCCAATACCTAAGTATAATAATGATAAGAAGTGGTAATAGTTAATTCATTCTAGTTCAAGAGTTGAATCGGAATAGAACCAGCTGACAGTTTGGAATACTGCCCAGTCAAAGTAATATTTTTGTCAATGTTAAAATGCTTCATAACTTATCTGAACAACTTAAAATTACAGACCAAGTTGACTTGTCAACTTGTAGCTCGAAATAATAAACTTCTACTAAGTTCTGGATCACTGAAACTCTTATTCACCATGTTCTGCAGATTTTCAGTCAATTTAACCAGGTGCCATTTTCCATGAAATTTATACCTTTGAGAATTAATGTTTCTATTATAAATTACAAATTGTGTTGTATAACTTTTATAAAACCACTTCAAATTTGTTGGTAGTAAGTATATACTTATAAAGTAAATTTTGAGAATCGTTCAAACATTGTTTGAAGGTGATTGATAATGTTTCACGATGAATTTCATTAGTTCGGACTTCCATTGAATAGCTGAAAATAACAATTATATTAAGCAAAAGAACCCTGAAAAGAAATTACAAAAAAATAAAATGAAAATTAAGCAAAAAATTGAAAATTGAACAATTAAAATGAAATGAAAATTGAAAGATTTCAAGCCAAGTTACTTCACGACGTTTTGATTGTTAGTATCCACAATTGTCTTCAAATAATGACATTATTTGAATAAATTTGATGTACTTGGTTTCTTTTCTATTAATTTTTTTTACTTTGAGATGGTACCTAGGTATGATAGAGTATTGTATTGTCATGTGCAATATTAAACTGGGATTTGGTATCCTTACTAGTAAGTACTCTACACAAGGTTAGTGAAATGTACACTTTACTCACTTTTTTATTATTTTTAAACATAATATACGGTCCAGTGTTTGATTTTCAAAAGCGAGAAATTACAGACACCAAAAAATAGTTTTTCATTTCATAAATATGCATGCTGGCTCATTCAAATGTACAAAAACATAATTACAATAGAAAAGTTCTACTTTTTTCCAAGAAAATGAAGAAAATATTGTTCTGACTTTTGATTCACTCAATAAAAAAAATGGTTCGGATTAATATTTTTTATTGGAAACACTATATTTTTGTAATGTACCCATACATGCCACACTAGACATCAGTTTATTCATCTGAGTTTTCATAAAAAAATGGGATGGTTGCATGGTGTTTCAGATTAATTTTGGGTTGATTTATTTGTATCCATGATAATTATTATACAATTTTCACACTATAAATTCTCTTTTAAGATCCAACAGTCCAACTCTTCAGTATAGGGAGACAAATCCCAAAATTGATCAAAGGTTACCGATGATGGTCCACATATGCTCGAAACTATCCACAATCTATGAAGTGTTTATCATCAGATACTCCAACCGGGCACTTGGATTTTTTGCTGTCCATGAATTTTTCCTCAATTCCTGTAAAAATTGGTTCAGGATCCTCAGTGATTCTAATTATATCTTGGTGTAAATCTTCCAAAAGATATCAGAGGAACTCCTAGGGGTAAAGCTTTGGATTCGGCTCTGGAAAAAAATGTCCTCACCGCTCTACCTTGAATGCTACTGGAGTTTTTTCCTAACACCAAACCATTATTTTAACACCTCGACACATGTTTCGATCACCAAGTGATCATCTTCAAGAGGAAGATTGACCTAAATATACTTACAAATATACTTACACAGAGTACCTGTGTCTTAAATTTATTTCACAATATTGCCTTATCTACTAGTATTAAATTGAATTTACAATGTGTCCTTATGTAATAAATAGTCAGGTAAATCTAATAATTAAAATATTATTTTAACAAGCTAGATACTATTAGGTATTGCTCTACCATATTTATTCATAATATTTTTATAATTACTTATTTCTACACTCATAGGCATCTAGATGCCTATGAGAGTACATGATGGTGGACCATTACCTAATAGTATACTATATAGCTTGTTAAAATAATATTTTAATCATTAGATTTACCTGACTATTACATAAGGACACATTGTAAAATTTATTTGAGACACTCAGAGACACAGGTAACTAGAAAAGGTATCTATGGTATAAATAAAGATAACATAAGTATATTTACTTTAATCTTACTCTTGAAGATGATCACCCGGTGATCGAAACACGTGTCGAGGTGTTAAAATAACGGTTTGGTGTTGGGAAAAAACTCCAGTACTATTCATTACGACACCAAAGATTACAAACAGCGGATCACAAGTACCACTCTATCTGATGGATCTTCTAACCAAAGTTCTTTAATCACTTCTACGAGGTTTGATTGGCTAGAGCACTCGTCATACAAAAAATACTTGTATTGATATTTTTCATGTAGGGATCGTTTTTTAAATAATCCATGAACCATCTAGTATTTAAGGAATAGGTATGTATTACCAATTATCTTCAACCCATTGACCACAGAGGTTTCAAATTATATTTTCAAAATTGTAAGTGTTTCTTTCAAATGAATTTAACTCTTCTAGATTTTTCCTTTGGGGCTATATGAAATTGAAAGTTTATGTTAGGCAACCTAGGACGATACCGGAACTTAGAGACAGAATTATCGAAACTAGTACTAGCATTACCACAGAAACTTTCCAACATTCCAAGAGTTTCAACATTCCAGTTTTACTGTCAGGAGGTTCAAAAATAATATTTTGAATATTTGCACAAATGTTTTTTATGTATAAAATAAAATGGGTTGAAATAATTTATCTTATGCCCTTGAAATCAACACTTATTTATTGCAAAAGATGTTACTAGCTTATTTCTCATTTCCTTGAACTTTCAATTCAACAAATTTGATATATAGGGTGACAGGGTTACAAAATTGCTAATCCCAAATTCAAACATCAATAAATCTGCAACCGGTTAACGAAATTCAAAAAAATTATGATTACTATTTGCCATTGAAAAATTAATAGCGCTCCTCTCGGCGGAATGTGACGTTATACTATTTGCTTTTTTTAAAAAAAGTAATGAAAATGAGTCCTTTTTACAAATTTCTTTTACAACTCTGATATATCATGCCATGTTCGAAAGTTAAAAAGGGGGGAATAATTACGTCCGCATGTATACAGTGTACTTTTTGGCGTCTGTTTCTCGTTCGAAATAATTTTTTTTTCCAGCTCCTCTAGCTTTAGCTACATTTCCACTTGTTTGAAATTTTTCAACGTCTCTGAGATATATTCGGCTGATGAAACTTACGGCCGGTTTCAACGGTAATAAGGATTGCCCCCGTTTTTTCATGCAAAGATCTGACCGGAACCATTTTTGAAAATTAAAACAAATTGAAATGAAGCGAATTCACAGTATCAATAGTGATAGCTGTCAAGCTAATAAGATACCCTTTGTTATTGGGGTAACATGGCGTGGATTCTTATCTAGATAGTTAATCATTAAAAAATTCTTAATAGAATTAATAGCAGAAATGCGATTTTGAGCCAAATACTTTGGTTCAATTTTATTCTAAATACGATATATTTCTGTAAACAATTACTTTCTCTCACATATTATAAACTTTGCGTAATCTGTGACAACTAACTTTGGAGCTGTTTCAATTGACTTTTAGTTGCAAAATTATGAATTATCATATTTCCTAGTCTTCAATCCATACATGACTAACTACGCAATCGGTCATCCAAACTCTATCTAAAATCAACAGATTCTCTATTGATTTGACTTTGTTTAATTTTCAGACAGTGGAAGGCTGTATATCCAAAAAAAAAAAACAGTAAGCAATATATTTGCATCTTATATCACTTAAACGACTCTTGGTTCAATAAAGACACTGTAGGCATGTTAATTTTTTCCATATGTTACAAGCACCAAATTACTTTTTGCAATTTCATAACGTTACAGTTTTGATACGAGCTAGTGCTTCCATATATCTACCAATGATTTCATAAGCCTAATAATCAGCTAGCACCAAATTATACCATCTTTCAGAGAATAATCTGTAGGAAACCTTCAACCTGAATAAATTTGAATGTTATCTTCAGATAAGTTAGTAACCACATGTTGAGTAATCTGTGTTATAATTGTGAAGATAATGATGTTGGGTTGGTTAAAGATAACCTTTGATGAGACACATTTTACATTCATGTCAAATAAATGAACTTTCTGTGAATTGACCCGATAAGGTGTTTAAGGTCATGTGCAGTTGGAGATTATTTTAATTTGAATCATATGAATAGGGTTGACAATGATGAAAAAAAAGTTTAGGATCCAGAGGATCTTGAGCAAATAATATGTTAAAAGAGATGTTAAAATACATTGTCTTCTGTGAGCCAACACAGATGAGTGAATACGTGCATATGTGATGCCAGTCTGTGTTACTGCATAAGTTACAACATTTGTACATTGTCTATAATTTGAAATATATCATTTCACTATGTGATAAAACTAAAACTTTTGACATTTCGAATCAGTGGTTGGGAAGTTAAGCTATATTAGTTGTTATGTCATCAGCTTTAAGTTTAATCAGTTTGAAATACTAATGATTTCAGTAAATATTCAAAATATATATTTCAAAGATGATGTTGTATTTAAAAAAATTCAGCAAATAGTTACAACTCTACTGAAGGAGATATTTTTATAATTGCTCTGAACTGATGAATGACTTGTCAAAGTCATCAGTTGATATACTTTTATTACATCTTACCTGAAAATATACTCAAAGCTAGATCAGTTTTAGAGTTTTGGAGTTCTTTGGGTATAACCGATTTTATTCCATGGAATGTATAAAAATACACAAAGGTAGATACTCCTAATGTTATCACTACAGGTCTGATTCCACGGTACAGTGAGGCACTATAAAAAATTCATTATTTTGAATATTAGAAAAAAATTCAACTGATAATTACTCACATTCCTTCATTTTTGAGCAAATGAATAATGGCTTCGAAGGTTGTTTTGCCTATTACTTCTTTATCTTCAACTGGAAAAAAAATTTCTTAGGGGCAATATCCAACCTAAATTTTAATTACGAAATTAATAAAAACTATTGCAGAGTCAAGTTCACTTGGTGTATTGTCAATAGTCATCCTAATATGGGCTGCATTTATGAAAAACATAATTGAAGTTAATTTTAAAACAGGGTTCAAAAAGGTTGAGTTGGAATATATATCTTATATAAAAATAGGTATATGAAAACTCACGTTGTTTTCGAAACTTGATCATATCCAAAGGGTATACGCTGGTCATAGCGAAGATGCTACCCTGAAATGAAAGTTGAAAAAAAAAGATACAATTCCAAAATGAAACTTACAGTTGCTCCTGCAGTGGCATGTACCAAGCTCTCATAATTGAAAATATTTCGCTGGGCCATTTCTATTGATTCTTTTAAATCACTGCAATATCCAGTTTATATTATATTACAGAATGTTTTACCATTCGCATTTCCTAATTAAGTTCATTAACATTGAAAGTTCATCAAAGGTTGACAACGGAATTATAAAATTTGTATTGTCACACCACCAGCGAAGTGGATATAATGCGAATGAAGGCATAAAGTAATTATTCCGTTCAAAAATATGTGAATGAACAAAGGTCAAAATGAAAATTGAACTATATTTGATTTCATAATTTAAATTTTTGTTTTGACTTTTGACTACACATTGACATATGATGTATTCGTGTTTCCCACTACCCCAGTGTTGAAAAACCTGTGTTGCTCGCATTTACATTGATACCACCATAGCCTTACTCCCTAAGACATCTGAACATCAATTTTTATGTTCCGAAATATTTGAGAGGATCACGGATTGAACGAAATCCATTAAAACGCCAAGCCCTAGGAAAACAATTATTATTACCTTCATAGACGAAAGGCTCGTTCATGTTTATCCGAAAATTTACTATCAAACTACCATCGCATTGAGTGATGAGCGTTTATTCATACTTCTAGGCAAATTTTCATTCTTAAAGTTTGTTGTCTAGGGTCAGCTGTAATTTATTTTATGTTGAAAAAACTCAATTCATAGATCATTTTCTGTTTTGTTTGAAGTAACGAATACATATTGAGAGTTTCAACAAAAAAAAAACAGAAATTATCAATTTCTTTTTGAGGAATCTTTGGATACTGAATTTGTATGTTTTAGCATTCTATACATCAGAAAGTTCTATAGTTATCTGCAATTGAATTGCCCATGAGACAATTTCTGTTTCCTTCTACCTGCATTTTTAATTTTTTGTCTCTTAAGTCACGAACAGGTTTGATTACAAATAAATATGTTCGAAAAACACTTCATTGTGGGATTTACACAAAACAGTTTTACAAAAACGCAATACGTGTTTCGCTATACAATAGCTTCTGCAGGCGTGCTTTTACAGTAAAGACACGCTTGAAGAAGCTATTCTATAGCGAAACACGTGTTGTGTTCTTCTAAAAATGTTTAGCAAAAATCTCACAATGAAGTGTTTTTCGAATGTTTTGGATTTTCATTAGGTATTCGCCAATTTCATCACATGAGTTAATATCTATTTGAACTTCTGTTGGACGTTTCTTTTGAATATCTTGCATCGTTCACTCTCAATTTCGTTTCGTTCATAGAGTTTTATAACTATGACATTATTCACAATTTTTTTCTTGGAATATTCATTACATGAAAGAAAAATCAATCAATATAACACATATATGCGAATTCAACAAACAATGCAAGAATTATGATTATCACATCATTACAAATATCATTTTGTAAAAAAATACCAATGTACAAGATGATAGGATAGATAAAGTGCAAGACAATTTAATGGAAACGGCAATCTGTTCTACTGACAATTTATAGTGAATTTTCAAGGTCATAAGTTCTTTTTCCACGTGTTTTCACTAATCCCTTTTTGCAATCTACTCTTTGCTTTTGTTGCTTTTCACTAGTCACTCTCTTCAGCGTTTTTTGCCCAGTTCTCTCAAGAGAGAACATTGACTCTACATTTAAAAAAAGATGAAGAGATTAACGCCCTGGCATTTACGTCACTCATAAACTTCGTCAAGGTTCAAGGTGAGTTCATATTAAAACGATTGCGATAATATTTTTGCGGTTCCGCAAATTTGGCCCAATTGTCAAAATACCCTGTTCATGTTGAAGCGGGCAATATCTAGGGATTTTATTGTTGAATTTTAAATTTTATTACATGAACCTGAATGATGACACGACTCATACGAATTACGACTTCTAAGACCAGACCCCATCATATCATATCATATCAGTCTCAAGTTTTGTTTAATAGTAGCGTGTCTTCAAACAACTTATCTTAACGTAACTGCCAACTCAAGTGCAGGAGCGAGGGGTTCTTTTACAAAATGAGTTTTCTTTAATGAAGGGCCAACCAAATTCAATAATTTATTGAATAATGGAAAATAGTTGAAATATTTCTCTGGATCACTAATTCTCATTCCAGCTACAAGGTTGTGATATTCTCCATATTTTCTTCTGTTTTTGAAAATATTTCTCACGCCATAACGACGGGGTTTTCTCAATGAAGCTTTATATATACGCTAAAGTTGATATAATTTGAACAATCTGACACATTCGTCCAATTCAGATTCAATTTCGATGTATGGGCTTGAAAAACGAGAGTCAAATAAAATAGCAATATAACCTCATTGTATGTTGACGTTTGTTGCGGAAATCGCAAAAAAGTTCCAATTTTTTCAACTTTTTTACGATAAACACGACGCCATTTTAAATCGTACTTTTCATGCTATGTTCGTTCCAACATGAACTAGCCCTTATGCCTTGCATGTTTCCATGTGAAAATTTTGAAATTTGATTTGTCACATGATGCTGTGACGCAGTGGCTAAGACGTTGTGTTATCCACAGGTGGAATATAAGTAAAAGCACCGTATACCGTGCGTTCCACTAATTAAGCGTTCACAACGCCTAAAATACTCATTCAGGCGTTCCACATGGCGACCGCGATCGTTGTGGTCGCGGCGAAAATGTCATTAATGACGTCATTACTAATGCTCACGCCTAGCTCACGACGACCCATCTCAAGAGGTTGGTCGATGTGAGCGTTTTGAAAAACTGAGCGCAATTTTTAAAACTAAAAGCAGCAAACATGGCAACAACAACAATATCGTTCTATTGTGGCGAACGAGATACTGTTGTGGATCTCAAACTTTCTCCTGCAGATGCTGAACGTGCGTTAACAGGTAAATATTATTGTTAAATGAAGCTTATTAAGCATAATTGCAGTTTATAATTTATCGCAATTTATATATTTTTATCATTTGTCAATAACATAACCTAAATTGATGAATCAACAACTTTAATTATCAATAAAAATATATTTGTCAAAAGAAACTTGAATTTCAGATACAGTTTTTGCTACAAAATTAGTAACAAAAGCCTCCAATCAACAATCAGGACCATCGACATCGACTAATGTTGATAACGACCTTTCTTTATCTAATGATGCTTTTAACAATAATTCTAGGACATCCGGGAACACGTCGGACTAAATCTTCTTGTATCAGCTCATGTAAATAATTTAATGTACATCTTGAAAGTCTAAAGAGATCAATAAAGAATTCCATGAGTAAAATTTTCAAAATCTATAGTGTATTAAGTGATAAAAAGTAATTTACCTGAAATGCCTTTTAAATTCTTCATTTGAATAACGAGTAATTACATTATCGTAATCAATAATACGCGGTCTAAGTTTTCGTTTCTCACGATTATATTTTTATAAATTTGTATTCCATTCTTCATCTGAGCTGGACGAACTAGTACTTTGTGGAGCATTATTTCGACGCCCCAACAAATTTCCAACTGCCGCCGTAAAAGGCATATTATATACGAACATAAATTAGTTAAATACTCCTCTGAAATTAAAGTATATACATAATTTTTGTTTAATAAATCATTTTAACCAACAATTAATAGAACTTATTGATACCACTTACAAATTGTAACATAACCTCATCAACTTTTTGTTTTGGTTTTTTTAAACGCGCCATGTGTATTATTTAAATGAACGCTCAAAACGCTCCAAAATCCATTCCACTTGAGTTAATGATTGTGACGCCCAGAACCAAGTGGAACGGCAAAAACCGTGGTCGTGAGCGTGGTCGTTGTGAGTGCTTAGTGGAACGCACTGATAGAAGTAAACACAAAAGTGACGTCACGCCTAGGCCATGTTTATGCTCTTGTCAACGTCAAATGTCAAGGTAATTTATAGAATTTTAAAAAGAGATTTAAAAAGCTATTACGAATTTAAGTTTTCTTTACTAAGTGGAACTGAAAAACATACACGTACACAAAAAAACAACAATGATAAAGAGTCATCAGTAATCCTGTTTTGATACATTACAACCATGAACCCAGAAGGAAGGGTTAGCTATTACATTGACAAATATGGTGTTTTCCATAGACATCATTGGAAAAGTAGAAATCAGAATCAAAACACGAAAGTGTCACGAAAAGTAGAAACTCCAAAAATATGTTCAACGTGGCTCAGGCTAATTTTAATGTTCTGGAATGCAAAGGTAATGAAAGCAGCTTTTCGATTTGGTATAGCTGCTATAATCATGAATCAGTATGAGAGATTAGGGTTTGCGGTTTTATTACTCTGTTTTGCTATATGAGAAATTTCATCCAAATTTATCAGGATTTTTTGAAATGGCTATCTCCTGATTCTCTGATAATACAAAAAAGCAAGCCATTAGGGGCTATATTAATGATTAGATTTGAATTGATATGTACCTGAATTTCAGCTTTACATATATGTAGTAATTGGCTGTAGAAATTTTGATTGTGTATGTCGTTACATGGTACAGGACTAATAATTTTGTGCCATAATTGTGTATATAAGCACTATAATTTTAGGATTCTAGATTTATTGTGATATGTTTGAATTGTTTCTCAGATAGAAACATAATTGTTTCCCCATTTTTGTATTATCTATTTTAATAATGAATTATTTCTGACAATTTCTTTTATCATTTTTCCAGTTTCCTTTCAATAAGTAACCTTGTACAAAAAGAGTAATAAGTATGGAACTTGAATGCTGATATGTCAAAGAACATAAATATGTAACGAAAGTCATTTTTTGTGGAGGAAAAAATCAGTTTTTTTTATCGACCTTTTTTGGTTAATTGTTACCTTTCACAATTTGAAAAAATATAAAAATTATAATGGAGAACTTTATACAAGTGTAGAAGGGCAAACTTTTTAGTTTACCCCAATAAGTTACTGCGTAAAAATCAAAGTATTTTTCACAAAGAAAAATCTTCTATTTATCAGTAACTTGTCGTATTTAACAATTTTGCCTATCAAAAAAAAATTATTAAGAAATAATACTTATCTTTTACGTTTTGGAGGCCAAAATCTGCCTCCGTCTTCAGAAATGAATAAAGAATTCGAATATTTTCACAGTCATTCCTTTTTCGATAGCTTATTTCTTTACTTCTTCGACAGATGTCAAAAAAGTTTTGAAATATGAAATTATGTCATTGACAACTGAACTGAACTGAACTGATTGACAACTGAAACACAAGGTACTCTCTGATATCAGTTTGTTGCCATTTCGCCACTATCCAAAGTTTTCTTCAAGATGGGTAGCCAAGTAAGGTCTATTTCTAAGGAGCTATTCGAGATACAATTCTCTCGAGACATGAAAATATACGCTGATTCTTTTTGCTTACGTCTCTTAGGACAACACTGAAGAAAAAACAAAAAATTGTATTTATGAAATACCTTGTTCTTGTGGTAAAAGTTACATTGGTGAAACCTCAAGACCATTGAAAGTACGTAAGAATGAACATCGAGATTATATAAAAAATAGACAATTGACAGGATCAAAATTATCAGAACACATTTTAAAATCAGACGGTGAACATCGGGTGGAATGGAATAGGACAAGAAAGATTACCAACGAGCCTCATTCTTTTCATTCCTTTTAGTACAATTTCCCAAATTAGTATCAAAAAGTGACAAAGTTAACTTTTTGTTTTACTTGCATATTCTCTATATGTTTCTCTCATACATTCATTATTTTTTGTTAATATTCAAATTGTCATTTATACTTTCCTCACTGTCTTTGCACTCTACCACGTTGTGGACAGCCTAATGAATTTTATCTCAGTTCACATTCATTTGCGTTTTCAGTTGAAAAGTTTATTTGCAAATTGTTGTTAATGGGTGTATCAAAAGATATATAATCAAAAGATATTCACACATGAAAAGTACTTATTATTTTTCCATTATCTTTTTAACCAAATATGATCTTGGTTGTTCCTTGATATTTTTTTGGGATTATAACCTTCCGCAATCTGAAAAATGAATGTATCAGGAACAACAGAGAATCTGCTCTGAAGTGTAATAAACGACAAACTGAAAAGCTCACTATGAAAAGTTACCGCATAATATAAACCTTGGAAAAATCTAATAAGTGATTAACTTTTAAATTTTGCTTATGAATGGAATGAACAATTGTAAAATAAAATTCTAATACTTAGCTTTTTTGAAAAATAGCTAATGTTTCTGAAGATAGTCCTCTTACGTTCTTAAAGCCTGAAAATGTTGTTGATACCAAAAAAATCTTGTGAACTGAATTTACCACAAATGTAAAAGTGAATTTTGCCTGTGAATACCTTTGTTCTGTTACAATAAGTTGGAAAGATGTATATGTAATGTGTTTAATGTTTTGGAACCGGCAACAACTATTGCCATGTTACAAAGAATCTGTTACACTGAAAGGGATATAAAGGTTGAGGAGATGAATCTACCATTTGCTCAGTTGTTTTATTTAGTACAAAAATTTCTTGAGTATTAGCAACTCCACAACAAATATACAATAATTTCTTGTATTATCTAGTAAGTATATGGTGTATAATTATCTTTTCTTTTTTGAAAAGATAATGATAAATGCAGTTTTTATATTTTACATTTGGAATATAGAAATAAAATTAAATCACTGTAACAGATAACGAAATGTCTGATGATTGTATCACATATTAGGTGAATAAATATTTCGAAATATTTACCTTTCCCAACATTCCTGTACAGTAGGATCTGGTCTGCAGGACAGACATTTATGCAAGTTACCTTGCAGAGGATAATCTTGCAGATGCCTCTCGATCATTCAGCATCAGGACCATGTTGAAATCAATCGAGTAGATCACCTTCAGACTGTTTTCGGGGTATTACCCCTTTTCAGTGCAGGAAAGATCCGACCCAAGCGGCAGGGTGACTGGGACTGGACTGATATGGATCCACTGCATGTATGAAACCTTCGTCTGAGGTAAGGGTTTGTTAACAAGTAACAGAGTCATCTTGTGAACAAAACCCCAAAAGTGGGGATGGAACACTCTAACAGAAATCAAAATAAGTCTGATGACTGATAATGAATTTTCGAAATATTCTCCTCTCCTAACGTTCCTACACATCAGTGTGATCTGGTAAAATAGCTGCCAGTTGAAAAAATCTGGTAAAATCTGTTTTACTGTTAACTAGCTGTCGCTCCCCCCTACGAACGACAATATTAAAAAGTCTAAACATGTGCAAGCTAAGGATTAATGAGGTCTTACCCTTTGACGTGCGATTCATAGCACATTGAAAGTATAAACTATTCCACCGGCTGACATCACGATTTTTGAATTAAGTTGATTCTCAGGCACATTGTTGTTTAGGTTGGATCTTTTCTGCACTAACGAAGGGTACAACCCTGAAACCATTGTGTAGGTGATCTACTCAATTGATTTCAGCGTGGTGCTACTTTGTCAAAACTCTGGGATTTTTTTTTCGAAATTTCACTCAGAAATATTCATTTTCCTAATACATTTGTATGTATCTCTCCTCGATTCAGTCATCATACTCATTGTGGTGGGATCATCCCCTATTTTAAGACTTTCTTTACGAGATGGAACTGTTATTAGTGAACAAATGATTCTATCAGGCAAAGAGGTCATACACAAAATTAATTAAAATTTTGTTAAACTGAATATTGACAGAGTTCCATCCACAACTGTTCCAAAATATCCATATTCTGCGTTGAAATTATTTTTGATTGTTCTAAAACATTTCATTTTCATGCTGAAATAATTTCATCACTGTCATCACAAATATTGAAGTTATTATATACATTCGATCAATTTAAATTGAAAGNATATTTTCTTATAAACATTGCTTCTAAATGAACGTTGATTTTACAAAAAACACTTCTCTATTCCATCTGTATTTCAAACATTCGTAATGGAATCGAATCAGATATCATTCACAGGATTCCTACACAATATAGTAAATGAAAGAGGTTACATTTCACTTACATGGAACACTGGCATCATCACTGGTAGTCATCCTATTTTTCGCCTTGAGACACTTATTGGCTCTTCAGTACCAAATACATGAATGATTTGAGAGAATGAGGAATGGAAAGATATACTTCAACTGATATTGAGACCGGGCAAATATAAATGTATTATTACATCTAGGATGACTGCTGTATTTTTGTTCATCCACAGCAACGATGATAATAACAAATTGTTTTTTGTCGGTTTTCCTTTTATATGTATTCCCAAATAAATCTTATTTTGTAAATAGAGAGTCTCGTCATA